ACTTTTATATACAGGGTGCCTACATTCTGCATGTGCAAATGGCTTCAGATACTTATTAGGTCCATAAATTACCATATATTCAACACAAAAAACAGTGACAATTTGTTGTTGACAAAGGACAGCTGGACGGATAAAGGGCCCCATTACCTTCAGTAGCTTAGGGCCTCATCAAACCTATATCTGGCCCTGGCTAAGAGCATTATCATGCATCTGCATTTAGGTGTCCGTGGGTCAGGAGATGGCTTCATAGCTGTCAACTTTTCCCTTTTCTTGCGAGGAATCCTATTCGGAATAAGGGAATTTCCCTTTAAAAAAGGGAAACGTTGACAGCTATGGTCGGCTTCACCTGCTGAGCAGCAGCCTGAAGGAGCAGAAGAATTGACTCCACCTGCTGCTGATCAGCCTTCTCGCTCCTGATGTGAACCAGCTGGCTCCAGCTTTCTGAAGCAGGGTTTCCAGCCTCAGTCAGTTGCTGGAAACAGTATTTGTCATTCCTGGGCAGACCTTGCTGCTTTTTGCGACCTTGGACCCTCAACGTTCTTGACCCCCGGATTGTCTGACTATGTGAAGTGAGATACTCCTGACCTTAGGACTGGGCTGAAGCTTGTATATGGACTCTGCCTCCAGGCAAGTACCCCCCTGAGACTCTGCTGGTTGGCTGGCTTCTGCCTCCACTGAGCACTGCCGTGGCTGACAGCATGGGACTACGACATTAGGCTGCGTGAAATACCTTTCTTCATAATGAAGCAGCAGTAACAACTGAAATTGAAATACTTTATTGTCACTTGTACAACTTGTATACAGTGAGATTACACGAGCACCCCCCACTCAGCTCTCTTAGTCTTAATTCCCCTCGTGTACTTATGCACACCCACCAAACCTGAAAGTCAGTTGCCCTGTTGTTATCTTTTCTTTCAGCAGCCTAACAGCCCACGGATAGAAGCTGTTATTTACCCTGTTGGTGCAACTAATCATGCTTCTATATCTTCTGACTGAGGGCAGGAGATCAAGAAAGTGCCGGCCAGGGTGTGAATCATCCCTGAGAATTTTTCTCACTCTCCTGAGGCAACGTTCTTCCATTATCTCATCCAGTGGATTCACGGGACAGCCCATAATATCTTGTGCTGTATTCACCACCCTCTGTAGGCACTTCCTATCCTTTGATGTCTAACCAGTGTACCACATCATGATGCAGTATGAAAGGACACTTTCTATTGTGGACCAGTAGCAGGAGATCATCAAATGTTGATTCACATCGTTCTTTCGCAATACTCTGAGGAGATGGAGTCTCTGTTGGGCTTTCTTAACCGCCTGGGTTGTATTGATTTTCCAAGTAAGGTTTCCAGATATGCAAAATAGATGTGAGGCTGACCAAGGAAAGGAACGGAATGGCTCCAGTGCTGCATATAAAATAGCACATTGTGGGTGAGACGCAAGGGGTAAGTGCTCTCACCTGCATGCTTTCAAACTGCAGACAGGAGAGGGGTGCTGCCAAAGAGCTCCATTCTCTGTTCTCAGTCACCCCAGTGTAAACTTGGCTCAAAAGTTTCCATTTTGTCTGGAATACTGACAAGGTCTAACATGTTTGGATAGAATACATTTGCAGGTTCAGTTGGCTCCCTCTGTTGAAATGGAATAGTTTGTGCCCAGCTCCCCTATACACTGTGCACTCAGATTCTACGAAGCTTCATCACCCCTGCATTTTAAGTTGATCAAAACAAGAACTTTGTGTTACTTTTTAGTTAGAACCAAAACACTTGCCTATTTAATTAGGACCAAAACACCCACCTTTTCTGCTATCACATGAAAAGTATGCTGTAATTACTAAGAGCTACCATGGCTTTCCCCAGAGCAAGTCATGCCAGATTAAGCTGTTTTCTTTAATAGAGATGCAAGCTTGGTGGATCAGGGGAATGCTGTGGGTGTAGTGTATCTTGATTTTAGTAATGCCTTGACAAAGTCCCCGAAGATATCCTTGCAGAAAAGTTGGGCTTGACAGCGTAACCATTAGGTGAATTTGTATCTGGTTGACGGACCAAACCCAGGGTTCATTGTCATTCTGGGGGAAATGGAGTGCCATGGGGTTCTGTCCTGAGCCCAGTTTTGTTCAACATCTTTATAAATGACATGGATGAAGGAATATAGGAGATGCTCAATGAATCTGCCCATGACATGAAACTAGGAGGGATAGCTAATACCTCAGAAGATAAAATCAGGATTCAAGATGACCTTAACCGAGTGGAGAACTGGGGCCAAACTAATAAAATACTGTTAAATCTCAATAGGGACAAATGCCAAGGTTCTGCACTTGGGCAGAAATAATCAGATTCACAAATATAGGATGGGGGACACCTGGTTACAACAGTACATGTGAACAGGATCTAGGGGGCAACCACAGAAGTGTTGTGTCCAGATCAAGGAAAGTAATAATCTCATTCTATTCTACCTTGAGGGACACGGCTGGTGTCAGAAAGTCGGCGGTTCAAATCCCTGCGACGGGGTGCGCTCCCATTGCTCAGCCCCTGCTCCTGCCAACCTAGCAGTTCAAAAGCACGTCAAAGTGCAAGTAGATAAATAGGGAAGGTAAACGGTGTTTCTGTGTGCTGCTCTGGTTTGCCCGAAGCAGCTTAGTCATGCTGACCACATGACCCGGAAGCTGTATGTTGGCTCCCTGGGCCTGTAAAGAGATGAGCGCCACAACCCCAGAGTCGTCCATCACTGGACCTAACGGTCAGGGGTCCCTTTACCTTTATTCTACCGTGGTTGGACCCCACCTAGAGTTCTGTGCCACGTTCTGGGCACAAAAGTTTAAGAAGGGTATTTACAAGCTCGAACATGTGCAGAGGAGAATGACCAAGGTGACAGTGAGTCTAGAAACCAAACCTTATGATGACCAGCTGTGGGAGCTGGGTATGCTTTGCTTAGAGAAGACTGAGGGGTCTGCAATATTCCCTTTTCAACCATTTCATTAACATACATCCTTTAACCGTAGGCAGATACTTCAAAAATATCTGGAGCCTGTACTTAATAGGTTTTTTAATTGCCCTCTTTGTGGGGGCGGGAGTGCAGTCAGGTCATGGGTGTTAACAGCTGCCCCCCCATCAAGTAAATAAATAAAAATACTTAACTAAAAGTAGAAATCGTAGAAAGATTTTGACAGGTTTTCCTGAGCCCTTGGGGTCAAGAGAAAGCAACTTTTGTAGAGACATTTCATTCTGAACCTGCAGTTAAACAGAGCCAGACAGAGGATGACGACAGGTGGGTGTCTTGCCCCACCCCCTGACCTAAATTCTAGCTAGGTACATGGGTGGCGCTGTGGGTTAAACCACAGAGCCTAGGACTTGCCGATCAGAAGGTTGGCGTTTGAATCCCTGCTACGGGGTGAGCTCCCGTTGCTCGGTCCCTGCTCCTGCCAACCTAGCAGTTTGAAAGCACATCAAAGTGCAAGTAGATAAATAGGTACTGCTCCGGCGGGAAGGTAAACGGCATTTCCGTGCGCTGCTCTGGTTCGCCAGAAGCGGCTTAGTCATGCTGGCCACATGACCCAGAAGCTGTACGCCGGCTCCCTTGGCCAGTAAAGCGATTTGAGCACCGCAACCCCAGAGTTGGCCACGACTGGACCTAGTGGTCAGGGGTCCCTTTACCTTTTACATGGGTCAGGTTATCTCGATTCAGATCCAGAGGTAGTAACCCTTTTGTCTAAAGAAGGATGGAGAAGTGAGAACCCAATTTCTCCTCTTCTCCACTCCTTACGTTTTGCCCCGTTGATATTCTCAGGGCGATGAGCAGCCCTCCTCATGGGAGAACTCGATTTGAAGGGAGCCTCTTCTCCACCAGACGCGGAGTTCTCATCATGTGACTCGGAGAGAAGAAAACAAAACCTGGTATGCCTGAGTTTATCTGAGGAGGATTTGGGGTATAATGAAAAGGGCGTTACAGGCATTACCCTGCCTCCCTTTTCACCCTGCAGCCGCCACCAAGTTTCCCCTGCCAGAGTTCCAGTTGAAACGAAACATGTTTTCTGGGAAGTATTTTCACCGGAGCCATCTCCCACGTCTCTCCGTTAGCCTGCTTTCTCGTCTCTCTAGCTGGGCTGATGATCTAATAACATCTCTCTCTCTCTCTCTCTCTCTCTCTCTCTCTCTCTCTCTCTCTCTCTCTCTGCATACTCTGGCAGTCCTTTGCCACCTGGCAGCCTGACTTGTCTGAGTGAAGCGAAAGGCCTGCATGCAGTTAACCCTGGATGGCGAGGTGCCTGCAGATTGTGGAGAGGGGGAGACCCCTGCTGAACCGAGCGCCTAGCAGATAAGCTGTCTGGTCCTGTCTGTCTGGGCCATCAGAGCCAGGGGTAGCGCAGGGCTGCCACCCGCCCTGTTCTGCATAATACAAGATTGCCCCATATTTCAATGTAAAACCCTACGTCCTGTATTGTTTGTCCTGTACTTCAGGTCTTCTCCTTCTCTCTCTCTGTGCCAAGTTACGGATCCTCTCCAAATGAATGTGTTTGAATGGCAAGGTATTTAAATCCCGGGTAGCCAAGCACAGACAGATTCACAAATCCATGTGTGTGCAACGTGTGTGTGTGTGTGTATGTGACCAGTTCTAGAGGGGCCATCCTGTTAGGCTGTAATCGCAGAATCACAGAATTTGGGAGGGACCACGAGGGTTATCTAGTCCAACCCCTGCAATGCAGGAATCTTTTGGCCAACTGGGGGCTCGAACGGATGACTGTTTGCCCGACTGAGCTCCATTGTAACGCACTGAAGCCCCTTCAGCAACAGATGAAAGAAGAACAACGGTTCACCAACCACCCCGCCTCGCCCGGTCCTGTCTTTTTGCTAAACAAAGGTGGCAACGCAGCCTTAGGGGTGCACGAGGCTGGAAGCCTGACGGAGGAGGAAGAGATGCGAAAAGAGGATTCTTGTTGTTGTTTTGTTTAGCGGGCCGGGAACTGTGGGGCCGGCACGTTTCGCAGCGCATTACGCGAGCAAATAGCGCAGGAGCCGCCTGCCAGAATGGGCTTGTGTAACTTTGCGAACGTGCCAGAAAAGTTTAAAAAGCCCTCATCTCCTCCCACCCACCTACCCTCCGCCCCTCCCTCCCTCCGCTGCCGCTTCATTCCAGACACCAGCAAAAGCAAGAGGGAGAGGCGGCTCGCTCAGTCCCGCGCCGAGCGCATTCCTTTTAGCAATCTTGGAGAGGAGGAGAGGGGACGCTTGTTGCAAAGGGGAAATCTGCCACCTGTGTACGAAGAGAGCGCCCAGGCGCCTGCAAAAGCTGCTGCTTCGCCGTCGGGCTGTTGTTTGGCTCGACGGTCCTTCCAGGACCCAGGGGTGCCAAGGGGTACCCCACTCGCCGCCGCCGCCATGCGCCTCTCCACCCGGCCGCCGCTGCTGCTCCGTGTAGCCCAGCTGCAGGCGTGCGTCTTTTGGAGCTGCCTGCTGTGCGCGCCGTCGGGCGCGCTGCCTCAGCCAAGGAACCCGCCGCCGCCGGCCGTGTGGAGGCAAAGGATTCAGTGGGAGAACCAGGGGCAGCTATACAGCCTGCTCAGCGTGGGCTCCCAGTACCAGCCGCCTCGACGGCGCGCAAGCCAGCAGCCCGCGCAAGGCGGCCACGTGTTGCTCCTCCGGGGCAATGGCACAGCTCCGCGCAGGGCGCAAGCCGTCGCCGCCGACAGCACCACCCGGAGACCCGAGGCGCAGCACTGGTTCCAAGCCGGCTACCAGCAGCCCGACAGGGGACGCGGGGCCGACGGCGCTGCCAGCAGCAGCTCTCGGCGAGCGCCCCTCACCAGCGCCCCCTCCAGGCCGGGCAACAGCAGCGGCGCGCCTCCTCTGAGCAACTTCCCTCGGGCGCGCGGTTTAGACCGCATGGTGGGCGATGACCCCTACAACCCGTACAAGTACTCCGACGACAACCCGTACTATAACTATTACGACACGTACGAGCGGCCCCGGCCCGACAGCCGACAGCGGCCCGGTTATGGCACCGGTTACTTCCAGTACGGTAAGAGCGCGCAGTTCGCCACGCGACGGGCGCTGCCTCTCCGAGAGAAAATGTGGCGAGGAATTGCGCCCCTGCAGTGACTTAAACGTGGATTTGGTCGCTTGCGCTGCCAACAGCAGTCGCCCTCCAAAAAAAGCCCCAACCACCCTTTTTAAAACGTGGTGGGTTTTTTTTTGCGGGGGAGGGGGTCGTTTTTTATTTCGAGTATATATTTTGTGGTTTTATCTTTTGATTTTGTTCTGCCGTCCGCCCTGAGACATCCGGGTATAGGGCAGTATATAAATTCAGTTAATAATAATAATAACAACCCAACCCCGACGCAGCCACGTGGCAAATCCTGCCCTCCCCGCCAGACGGCACGTTTAACACGGAGCGCTTGGCAAGGCGGCCGGCTCCACTGCCGTTATTCGCCATCTGGTTCCAGCCCTCCCCCTTTGCCCCTCACCGTGTCTGCGTTGTTGTCAGCCTGGAACTTATTGCACGAGAATATCCCTTATTCACTGGAAACTTTTTTTCCCAAGAAGGGTTGTTTCTCTATACTTTAAAAAGTAATGTTAAAAACAACAACAGCAACCCACAAATCAACTTCTACAATTCAGTGCAGAGCGCTGGAGTGGGAAGAAGGTTTTTCAGGACAAAAGTTATGTTATTTTAGCGGTGGTTCATTTCCTTTATGCTGGAGGGAGTGGGGTTCTGTCCTACTGCTGCACTGACATTTTAACTCCAGCCCACAAGCCCCCTCGCCAGCCATTAAAAAAGCTCTCTGCGCATGCTCAGAGGCACTGTTATTATTAAATCTGCTCCTGTGCAAAAACTGCTGGGGCTGAACCATGGATCAATTAAGACCCCTACCGCATACTTTGAAGAAAGAAGCCTTATGGTTATAGCACCCCTGCCCCCAAATTTCCCCACTCCCAGAACAAAGGAAACTTGCACCAATGCTCTGTCTCTCTGCTTTAAAGTAAGGCTGCAAGATGCCCTTCATCTTCAGGCTCTTTGAACGGGGTTAATTCAAACCACAACCTGCCTAATGGATGCCCAGGATCATTTGTTTCGGCATAGCTGCTGGTCCATATAACAAAGAGCAAAGCTCCACAGTGTCGGACACATTTCTGGTATTTTGATCTGGCAGACTTAAGTGTACTCCTCAGCTGGTGTCCTTATGAGGAAGAATGCCTTGAAGATTTATGAGAAAAATTGCTTTGGAGAGTGCTGTGTTTCACAGTATCTGCCAATCTGCAAGGCAGGTTGTCTTTTCACATTCCCCCCCCCCCTTTTGATCTTGAGAAAAATGACTCTTGGCTCTTGTTAACCAGCCATGGGTGTGAGAAATGTGGATTGTATGTAGTGTTTAGGAAGATTTAGTTTGTGACTCCTCTAAGATAGGCAAAATGAAGTTTGCAAACATGTTCTGGGCTTGATCTGTTGTTTCTCTCTCTCTCTCTCTCTCTCTCTCTCTCTCTCCCTCCCTCCCTCTCTCTCTCTTTGTGTGTGTGTGTTGTGGCATGATGCACTGCAGGTCTCCCAGACTTGGTACCCGATCCGTACTACATCCAAGCATCCACTTATGTGCAGAGGACTTCCATGTACAACCTGAGGTGCGCTGCTGAAGAGAACTGCCTAGCAAGGTAAACAGGAGTCACTCCTGCCCCTTGGTTTATGTTGGCATTGGATTCCTAACTGAATCTGATGGGAAGATCTGGAGTCTTAGAACGAGGGTTTCTAAAAGAGGCACCCACCAGATTAGATTCAGAATGTCACATTGAAATTGGTGGGATAAGTTGGTTGTTATTACCTTAAAAGTACCGTTGCTTTCAATAGGACCAAAGCATGACCAACTTTGTGTGGAACCACAACATTGCTTCTACATCACAGTTCAGGACACGATGACAAAAATGTCACAATGTCACACTGGCAGCTTAACGAGAGGGAAGAGGAGTTAATTTCAAAAGTAGCAGAGTTCTGTCTCCATTCCAGTTGATGAAACATACTGTTTCTATTACCCTCTGCTGAGAGCTGGATGACCAAACTACAAGGCTTCCATGCCCTTATTGTTTAGGAATTACTGCCTTAAGAAGTGCCTGTTTTTCATTAAGTCAGTGCTTCGCTAATTTTTGAAAACAAGTCCCCCTTGAAAACATCGTTTACAAATTGTGAAATAAGTTGGGGATTTTTTAAAAAAAGGCAAAATCTTGCTATTTGATAATTGCAATTTGCAATCAGCTCTTAATAAACCATTTACTTTCTGATTATTATTATTATTATCCCATGGCTTTTCAACCAATGCATATCTACTAGGGAGAAAATTCCAATGAACTCAGTGAGACTTCTTTGTAAATATGCATAAGATGAGGCTGTGAGGATACTAATATAAATAAAATGTATTTTAGATCTTATGCAAAACAGCCTCTAAAATTACTTCATAGCAATGCCAGCCAAGATTTGGTAATATGCTTTTTACACTTGCAGTAGTGCCAGCAAATTGATTAAGAGAATATTGTACTTGGGTATGATAGAAAAATAGCTAGCTAATGTTACACAACTCCATCATATTCTTAGTTGACATTTTAAAGTGGAAATATAGAAACTCTGCTGAAATTAGCAGGAGAGGAAGGAAGTGGAGATCACATGGACATTATCAGCAGGAAGAGGAATCAACACCTACTCTGACATGGCAGAAACAAAAAATTCTGGTGAAAGATTTGGACTTTGGTGGTCCAGTACGCAAAGCAAATTTTGGCCTATTGCAGCAACAGAAAATCCACCTTTCATAGCACACCAACAAGGGAAGTCAAAAAGAAGTTCAGTAAATAAAAGTAGGCATGGGATATGTTTTAGCTGACGTTCAGCCATGGCCTACTACTTCTTAGTTTTTAAAAAAATATTTTCCTAAATATTTTATTGAAATAATGCATACTTCCTCTGATTTGAAGAGAGGAATTGGGTATGCTCATCAACTTGGCATGTGCTGGGCATAATCAAAAAGGAGTCAAACGTAAACATTAAAAGCAAATGGAATAGTAGTAGTAGCAGTAACAATAGTAAATTGTTTGGTCCCCCCCCCACCCATGAGGTCTCAGGACAGGTTTCCACAATTTAATAACACAATATTAAAATCAGTTAAAACAATAACAGTCAATAGAATAGGGTGGCTCCTAAAATACATATTTCAGGTGTCAAAGGTCAGGGTAAAGAGGCACTTCTTCAGCATATAATGGAAACTGCACAATGAAGATTTCATTCTCTCTGGAGAAGGAATTACACAGCTTAGGAGTTGCCATAGAAAACTCCCTCTCCCAGTCTACCTCTCTCACAGTAGGGGTGGGGGAACTACCAAGAGGGCCCCCTCTGCCAATTTGAGAGGGTCTGTAGAGAAGGGAAAACACTGATATATACTGCATTGGACATTGTTAAGCATCTTCAGCTCTCGTTATGTTACATTCTCTAAAAAGCCCCAAGAGATCGTTTCAACTATAATAAATACAAATGTCGCACTATAAGGCAAAGTGTGTTTAACGAGCAATTTCAAGCCTATTTCATGCGCATGTATGTTTTACATCTTTGCAGCTCAGCTTATAGGTCGGATGTCAGAGACTATGATAATAGAATGCTTCTGAGATTCCCCCAGAGAGTGAAAAACCAAGGCACATCGGATTTCTTGCCAAGCCGACCACGATACTCTTGGGAGTGGCACAGTTGTCATCAGTGAGTGAAGGGCTCAGTATGGTACTTTCCAATTATGTTCACTTGCTGTTTGTTTGTTGTGATGTGGCTTCCAGCACTCCACTCCACTCCCTTCCCCTGCACTTGCTGGCATGCAGAAAATAGCAGGAGTTACCCTTACCCACTGAACTCAAGTTTACGACCCTGCTTTAGGAATACAGTGGAACCTCGGTTTTCAAACGTAATCCGTTTCAGAAGACCGTTCAACTTCCAAAACGTTCGAAAACCAAAGCATGCAATTCCAGCAGTATTTACTTACAGAAAACTCAAAACAGAAGCCATTCGACTTCCAAAAAGCAGTCGAAAACCAAAGCAGTTACTTCCGGGTTTTTGGCATTTGTAAACTGAAACGTTCAACTTCCAAGACGTTCAAAAACCGAGGTTCCACTGTAGAAAATAAATAGGAGCTATTCCAATGTGATGGAAAAATGTAACTTGTTCGTCTTCCGTGTATACATTTTGGATGTTAAGAACATACTCAGTAATTAGTGGAAATGTTAGGTGGGTGAAATCGGTCGACTCAAAGTGATGTTGGTACCCGAGCTCTTGAACTCAATGAGCATTTCCTGCATATGGGAAGGATTCAAAGATGTGCTAATATAGGTATGGTTTCTGTGATCTGAAGACTGCCGTACAACAGAAGGTAGCCTTTGGTTTTCAGCTGCTTAGGCCACATGTAGGGCAAATATTACCTTGGTTGATTTTAGACCTGCCTTTGCCAATCTGGTGCCCTCCAGATGTTTGGTACCACAACTCACATCAGCTTGGGAGGGCCTGCAAAGGCAGCTTTAGACCCAAAGAGGGACATTTGTGTTGAAACGTGTTGCTTGATTCCATCTTCTCTTGGAATCAACAATAAGAAAATACAATGGAGAGAAGACGTTGAGGTGGCTGTCTAAAGTTAACCTATTTCCCCTCCAAATAAATAAAAAAATTGTCCAGTAGCACCTTAGAGACCAGCTAAGTATGTTCTGGGCATGCACACAAGAAAGTATCTGAAGAAGTGTGCATGTACAGGAAAGCTTATACCCAGAACATACTTAGTTGGTCTCTAAGGTGCTACTGGACAATTTTTTAATTTATTTTGACTGCGTCAGATCAACACAGCTATCTACCTGAATCTATTTCCCCTCCAGCTACTCTACTGTGAGAAATATAATGTAGCAACAGAACAGGCCTTTCACAATATGACCAGTGAATAAACAGAAGCATAATAAGGCAATGTGTGTAAAACTAGAACATATTTAACACAGTGGAGTTTAAATATCAAAATATTTTGCGTAAATACTTGGGGGCAGCTAATGGAAAAAGATTCAGAATCCATAGTATCCTTGGAATTTACAGTATACAAAGTAAGCATTTTTAATTCAAGGGTAACAATTGGATACTCCGATATAGATACTTAGGTGCTTCCTACTTCTTGCAACAGGAAATTTTGGAACAACGATTTTGCTTAGTCTTTAAACAAACTAAATGCTATGCAACAATTTACTCTCAAGAGCTGTATTTGTAACATAATTGTTGAATAATGGAACTATATGAAGAACTGTATCATAGGGCAACAAAAGTAGCCCATTATTTTGGAATAATAAACAGTGATTGTAAGGCTCTATGCCAACGTTGTTTTGCTGGGCCACTATTATTATTTTATTATGGTTGTTGGGTTAACACTTAATAAAAAAGTCTGCCTGTGGTTTAACAGACACTACCACAGTATGGATGAATTTAGCCATTATGACTTGCTTGAAGCAAGCTCCCAAAGGAGAGTAGCTGAAGGACACAAAGCAAGCTTTTGTCTTGAAGATACGTCCTGCGATTACGGATACTATAGAAGGTATGCGTGTACAGCACATACGCAGGTAAGGTAGTCGCTGATCATTTTTCATCTCTTGCTGTCAGAATATAGATGGATTTCAAACATCAGTCTTGACCCTGAAACAACATATAGGCTTCAGGGAATTTGTTCCCCCTCCCTCGCGGCAGGCTGCCAGTAATGGAAAGACAAGAAACTCTTACTAAGGTCTTTTATTCAGTATTCACAGAGAGATGTAGAAATGCCATCTCTTGGATAATGACGTTGAAACTGGTATCACAATCTGACCTTCAAACCAGTTTCAGACAATGCATTGAGATATCTTCCAGCTCTGATCCCCACATTGGTTGCAAGGGGTACAACTAAGTTTAGAGGCAACTGGCAACTACCTTCTTGTGAGCTCCTACAGATTTAGCTCCTGGAATGCTTTCCTAACGTTTCTGCAAACTGGCTAGCTGAGTCTCTTAAGTATTATAGCATCTGATTGCTACAATGAATTCTTTTAGAATTCTTGCGGCTTCATCCGCTGTTTTGAGACCTGTGCTTGTTGCAAAGTATTTTCCTCAGCAAATGAAGACTGCATCCTATTTTTTAAAAAAATGCGCATAGCTGCCAGCTCTCGGTATACCCATGAGCTTTCTCGCCACAGCCCTTGCCAAGTGACACACAGTCTGTGGCAAAACATTGTACTTTTCGTAGGGGCAGCCAGGCACCACTCAGAATGATTTCAGGGTAGGGAAAGGAACTGAACCGCACACATTACGTAGACCCAAAGGGCTGTGAGTTCATGGCTTAAGGGGAGCTGTCATTTCATAAGAAAAATATGTTACCGAAAGTCAAGCCTCCCTTTTAATCTAGCAAAATAACAATGAGACATGAAAAGAGCCTAAGTCCTGTTTGACCAAGTTATCATAATGGGAAGCTCGCAAGGAGGTCTTGTCATTGTGACTTGCAACAACTGGGGGGGGGGGGAGAATATAGTGGGGGTAAGAATATAGTGATTGTGTCTAGTAGCCATCGATATCCTTGTCTTTCATGAAAATGGCTCCTTTGCTTTTGAATGGGAAAATACTGGATCTTTTGTTTGTTTTGGAAGGCAAAATTATTTTGCTAGAATTTAGACCTTTTCTATAAGGGTTATTCTATTTATATAGCAGGAGAGCAATCATTTTGATAGAAGTAATGGTGGCAGTAAGGTGTTATGAATCACTGAGAAATGTTAATTATCTAGGGAAGCTTTTTGGCATTTGTCAACATTGTACTTTTTTATATATATATAAAAGAAAGTTAAGACTTTCACTTCACTATACTGCTACGCTTCAATTTTAGGGACTGAGCCCTGGGTGTTACGACACATACAATGCTGACATAGACTGCCAATGGATTGATATCACAGATGTTAAACCTGGAAATTACATCTTAAAGGTATGGAAATTACATTTTAAAGTTAATAATAATAGTAGTAACAACAACAACAACAACAACAATAATAAATAATAATAATAAGATATCAACATATGAACTTGCAAACTACAGCATGCATTTCTTTTGCAGGTTAGTGTAAACCCGAGCTACTTGGTACCAGAATCAGACTACTCCAACAATGTAGTGCGTTGCGATATCCGTTATACAGGTCACCATGCATATGCGTCTGGCTGCACAATTTCACCGTAAGTAATTTCCTGTTTACACATTTTTACACAAAAATTTACACATTTTTACGGTCTTTCCAAAAATGTGTTGCACAGCATGTATTTTATAGAATGAGACTTTTAGGTCTTATCTCAGCCACATAATGCCAAACCACATAATCCCTCCTTTCCTCCTCTTATCTGGTAGAATGATGAGCTCAAGAAGCATTCATTTGTGCTTTTAAACTAACACAGTTCCTTTTCATATCACAGGGGGTCAATGGCTAGTTCAAACTAGGCTTTGTTCAAACAAGCTAGGATCAAACCATGACTTATGACCATCACTTGTTTAAATCAATTGGAATTCTTGAGTTCAAATGTAATGGGGAACTATGGTTAAGTTAAAAGTGAGAGCAGATGCTTCCAATGTCTTGGGGGGGGGGGAATTGTGCGATTCTGATTTATGTGCATATTATGCTAACATAGTTTAGTGCTATTGACTAAAAAGGGTCATTCTATAAAATGCATGCTTCCCTTCCTGTCAGTGTAACAATGGCTGTATTCATATATCACAATAAATCATAGTTACTGTGAACACATTCCCTGGCTCAGTCTTACATATAGATCAAGGACCATGGTTTGTGTTACTCCAATCAAACCATGGCTAATTTGAGGTTTGATCTTGGTTTATTTGTAACATGATCCCTGCTTCCTGTGTAATCCTATGTCAGGGATTGGAGTTTGTTGCTCCCACTCATACAGATGCAGGAAAGCAAAGCAGTAACAATCTTAGTGTTAATAGTAAACCATTAACCATGGTTTACCATAATGTATGAACATGGCCTGTTTATGTCATTTTTCTTAGACTCAGTTGTTTTGCTTTCAGATTCAAACCTCTTCATAGTGAAATGATGTGCTTTATCCTTTGGCTTTTCATAAAATCTGTAAGATTGAATGGCCTAGAATGAACTTAAGAGTAACACAAGTGTTGAATTGCTTGCCAGTGCAAGACACTCAAGTCAGATTCTTTCTGAAATACTTCTTTAGAAATCTTGTTTTGAGGATTTAAAGGGATTTGTACATTCCTACAGCAGTAGGACTTAGCAAGCGTCAGCTGTTATTTCTGGCTCACACAACTTTCCGGATACTGCTTATGCATTCCACATACAGAGCATCCTTACAAAAATGCAGAGAACATTGCTAAGGAAGTTCAAACGAATCCAAGCCGACTTTAGTTTTACCAAGCCCCTTGGGGATATACAGTTGGTCTGGTCCATCGTCCAGGCCCACACTTGCATAAATAGATGGATTATGTTTGACACTGATACCACTGCCAATGGTCTTTTGGCAGGACTTCCCCCAGCAATTATGGGAGTCACTGTATCTGGTCTTGCTGTTTTTCCATGTAAATGTGTGCCTGGGGAGATAGAATTGTTAACATGGTTGCATGGAGATATCTGTTGTGGGTGGGGATCTGTGCTTCAGAGGAAGTTGCAGCTCTGGCGTTCAGTAATTAGCATGAGCTCATCTATATATAACAATGCAACGTTTGTCTTTAATACCCCTGTTCCAATGTCCATGTTTATTCTTCAGCTTGCATTAAGGAGCGAGCTATTAGATGCATACTAGAGAACACCAGCACCAGTACTAGCCCTAAGAATAGACAATTATATTTATTCATCCAAACAACCTGCTGAACTTATTTTGTCACCACTAGCCCAAAGTTGCAGTTGGTTTACAGAATCAACAAGTTAAGAGGCCTCGCCACAGGCTTTTATGAATTCTTGCAAGTGTGAGTTTCCAAGAGCTAGAACAGCAGGATTCTTAAGAGGTCAACAGTGACATTAGCAGAGCAGCAAGAGGAATTTGTCACAGCTTCTCACTATGCTAAGAAATAATTTAAAATGACGTTCTGGGAACAGCCCCTTTAAGAACCTGGCACAATTCCATTTGGAAGTAATGAAATGTTGTCTAAGTGCACGAGTGTTTAAACTCTTAACAAGACTTGTTAATGTTAGAGACCTGTGCAAGGGTACAGTCAATAGTGATTTGCCTTTTACTGCATCTCCTTTAGGTCAATCAATAGGAGCAGTTTAAGCAGAGGAAAAGTGTTGTGCTAATGTTGCTTAAATTTTAATTCCAGCGACGATATCTGAAGGTCTATTTAGTACTTTTGTTTTGATGTATGTTATACTTAACAACTACTTCTTTTCTCTTTAATAGGTATTAAGATGAAAGAAAATTTATGCAACGGTGCCCAAGGTTTTGAGGTGAAATTATTTTATAAACTTGAGACAGGATGTAAAAACTTTTGAAAGCGAAAACGAAAAAAGGACCAGAGTATATACAAAAAGAATTTTAATGACTCTGAAGCATTAAGACCTCCTTCAGAATGAATGTTGTCGCTCAATTCATGTGTTCAACTTTTGAGGACAGTGAAAGATTGGTGCTTTATATACAGTATTTCAAATTCTACAAGAAGTTTTAACCCATTCACAGAAATGCCTTTTCTCTGACTACTGGAAAATCAGTACGCTATTTGTGAATGAGCTTAAGGAACAATTTAAAGGATATTCAAAGAGGCTGAGATTCAAAGAGTTACTTTAGGTTCATATATGCCCAATGGAATCTTACACATTTTACTTTTTTTAACAACAGACTCCAACCCCTCCATATCAAAACTATGCTTTTTTACAATTTCATTTTCTTTGGAAGTTTATTGCCATCTGGCAAGTGGCCAGGGCAGTGCTGTCCAAAGGGTCATGGAACTAATTTCACAATTATTTGGTCTGCAGCCATATAATAAATACTGAAAGTAAGGAGGAGGAGGGGGAAAAATCAGTGGTCATGGGGCAAAATCTGGACCAAACTCTAGGGAAATGAAACTTCCAACAGAGCTAAACACCCAGGATGATACTTTTCTATCCTTGGGACAAAATGTATTGTTCACTTTTTAAGAACTGTTCATGCTTAGTGTATAGCAATGGCTGTTCATTACACCTTTTCAGATGAAAGAATTTGCATTTTAGACGTATTAGCGGGCAAGTATCTTCTTAAACCAGATGCCTATTGATATTTTGACAAGCCATTTTCTCAGAAGAAATATGAAATAGTGAATTACCCATTTCCAATGTTTGCTGCAGATTGCTTTGCACATTTTCTTCTTTTCTTCTGTACAGCTCTAAAGATTTTAAATTACTATTTAGAAACTATTCTCCTTTAATAGAATTTGGGTAACCTGGACTAAAGCTGATCTATACACTCGGCAGAAAAAATAAGTCTATTTACAAAGGTGGAATTTCTCAATATATTCCTTTAGTGCAAACTTTAATTGGTTAAAAAAAAGGTTAGGAGTAATATAGTTTTGGTAGCATCACAAAATAAGGCTTAAAAGACTGATTCACAAGGAGCTAATGGATGTTCTCCATGAATACTGTATTTTAAACCTTGTAGGCAGTCAGAAAGAATGAAGGTTTTTATATATAAAAAAAACCATACTAGCAGGATATTCAGTAGGCTGCATACTAAATAATGCAGTACTGTATTACATGATAATACCTGCCATCTGCAGGATTCAACAGGCAAACTTGTAAATAATTCAAGTGAAGAAAATCATAACTCCAAATTGAAAATTGGTTGTTAGAGGTAGAAGAATCATTCCTCCTTTGGCTAAAGTGAAATAGATGGGTTTCTCCACCCCCCTAAACTGTGAAATAATTTCTAGCAGATGGGAGTCTTCCTTCCCACTACTAGCTTTCTGAAAGGCCCTATAAATATTCAGTTGTTGGCCATGCTTTTTAGCTGTTAGAACTAAAACTTGCTGAATTTTGAGTGCATTCCATACATTAAGTATGAAAGAAGTGATATACATTAAGCTTGGGGAATATAAGGACATTTTCAATAACCATTTCTTGGAGATGTTTGATGGCTTGGAATACGTGTTTCAGATTGTCTTGAAGACGCTCAAGCTCCTCCACTTTTAGTACTATAATTTGTTTTGCAAATTTAAACAAAAATTGTCATCCACACCACTGTCTGTCCAGGCTGACAAGACCTGTTTCTGCCTATTTTGCTTGCCAGTGCCTTCCCCTTAGCTTGGATAGTTCTGGTGGATGTTGAAATCACCAGTCCTACCATGTGTAGTATGTCCAATATCACACATGAACATAAGCAACACCCTTTCATACGTCAACAACAATTGCTATCCACATGATTAAAAAATTCCTTCCAGTAGCACCTTACGAGACCAGCTAAGTTTGTTATTGGTATGAGCTTTCGTGTGCATGCACACTTCTTCAGATACACTGAAACAGAAGTCACCAGACCTTTATATGGGGAGGGGTATTACTCAGAAGGGTGGTGAGAATAACACCATTACTGGCTCCAACAACATCAAACATACCATCTCAGGACTATTTAATTGCTCATCTTCTAACATTGTGTATGCCATCAAATGCCAACAGTGCCCTTCAGCTCTCTATATTGGACAAACAGGCCAAACCTTACGCCAAAGGATAAATGAACATAAATCTGACATCAGGAATCACAAGACAGAGAAACCAGTAGGAGAACACTTCAATCTCCCTGCTATACAAGATCTCAAAGTAGCTGTCTTATTACAAAAGAATTTCAGAAACAGACTGGAAAGAGAAGTTGCTGAATTGCAACTTATTACCAAACTTAAAACCATGGAGAGACCTGGTCTGAATAGAGACATTGGATTGTTATTTCATTATACATGATAAAGCTATTTTTAGCCATCTCACCCCTTGCTTTTTCCTGTAAGACCAATTGCAGTCATTAACAGTTGTCAACAGGTCTACCACACCAATCAGCCAATCTCCCATTCCCACCACCCTTCTGAGTAATACCCCTACCCACCCTCTCGCTATATATAAGGGTCTGGTGACTTCTGTTTCATTGTATCTGAAGAAGTGTGCCACTCGAGCCATACCAATAACAAACTTAGGTGGTCTCTAAGGTGCTACTGGAAGGAATTATTTTATTTTGTTTCGACTACGGCAGACCAACACGGCTACCTACCTTTAAGTATCCACATATGTGTGTAAGCAGCCTTGCTTGCTTATATGTAGTTTTTCTTTTTCTTTTTAAAAGTGTTTTAGTAGCAGCAGGAAAAACTGTGGGCTGGTATTGGGGAGCCAGTGACTACTGAGAAGAGCAGGGGATCAGGAAAGCTGATGGCATGACGATGGCATCTCAAGGAATAGGGCTGAGCAACTTCGTAGGACCACTACCCCACATTTAGCAGCGTTTCCAGTTACAAAATTGTGTTTTCATTTATTGGAGGGAAGCAAGTTATCTGCTGTTACATATGATGTGAACTGGAATATCTGACACTTTTGGATTCAGACCTCAGCCAAGATTCACTTTGCCAAGATCAGTTCTAACAAAGAAAGGTACTAATTCATGAAGATTCATGGCAGCTTGGAAGATTTTCTTGTGGTTTTTGGAACACACGAGGAATTAATGGGCAACATCTTTTCCCTTCCAGCTGCATGACACAGAGATAGATTTTCTTCACTTTTTTTGGCAGGCCCTTATTCGGACTATAGCACAGAAAATGTTTCTAATTCAAATATTTCACATTTAGATCAAAGGGATTTTTAATGGTAAACTGATTTCCCCCCCAGTCACCATTTTTGTACCTCCCCATAGGTTTAGTTGGAGATAACTGAAGTACTATATTCTTACAAGTGGTCTATCCTGTGCCTTACACCAAAAACATCATTTTCACATTCCAGATACTACAAAGGTGCTTACATATTTTAACTTGAATTGAAATAAACAGTTTTCTGTCAGGAAATTTATAAGCAACCAAATGTTACAAATTTAGTGAAGAGCCACTCTAACTTCTTGCAAGGAATTCTAATATTTACTTCATTATTTTTTTCAAAGAGCCTTGCTTTTAAAATCTTTGCATCTTTCCCTGAGAAGTTATTTATAATTATTCATACACTAGCTTTGTTTTCTTCATTGCACTTCCATATTCTTGTTTAATTCTTGTATCATGGTTGCAGATTTATGTGAAAATGACCTGAATAAATTTGTTTTTCAAATGCTCAGAATGTCTCTCCAGCTTTCACCAAAATCTTTCTTACAGGTTAAGAGGAATCTCTATATACATGATTGTATCATTCTTCTCTATGGGAGAAGCATTTCATTCTCTAAAAATTACAAACATGATACTTCAGATATAAACCTTAGATAATTTTGTAATTACCCTGCTAGGGAAAGGAGGGTCAACCTAAGAGAGCTAAAGGAGTTTATAGAAGTCATCACACACGGATAAGGAAAATTGTATGTATCAATCACAGTTCTTATAGAATCATAGAATCATAGAGTTGGAAGAGACCACAAGGGCCATCGAGTCCAACCCCCTGCCAAGCAGGAAACACCATCAGAGCACTCCTGACATATGGTTGTCAAGCCTCTGCTTAAAGACCTCCAAAGAAGGAGACTCCACCACACTCCTTGGCAGCAAATTCCACTGTCGAACAGCTCTTACTGTCAGGAAGTTCTTCCTAATGTTTAGGTGGAATCTTCTTTCTTGTAGTTTGGATCCATTGCTCCGTGTCCGCTTCTCTGGAGCAGCAGAAAACAACCTTTCTCCCTCCTCTATGTGACATCCTTTTATATATTTGAACATGGCTATCATATCACCCCTTAACCTCCTTTTCTCCAGGCTAAACATGCCCAGCTCCCTTAGCCGTTCCTCATAAGGCATCGTTTCCAGGCCTTTGACCATTTTGGTTGCCCTCCTCTGGACACGTTCCAGTTTGTCAGTGTCCTTCTTGAACTGCGGTGCCCAGAACTGGACACAGTACTCCAGGTGAGGTCTGACCAGAGCAGAATACAGTGGCACTATAAGCAGAAAGTTTGCTTATCGCTGACAGACCATATTGAGCCTGGAGAACAGTCTATAACAGGGCTGCCTCTACTTTCCAGAGGGAAAGCTTGTAAAAATGCTACTAATTATGCATTATGACAAGATTATTATGGGACAAAGCACATAGGATAAAAATAACAGTGATGTTCATGATCAGGACCATGCCACAAGACTAGACGGATAGTCAACAGGTCTTCAGTAGGCTAGTTTATTGTCCTGTATCACCATTTTAGTAAGCCTGTCTGCAAAAATTACTTTGAGTTCAAATGTATCCTTGAGTTCAGAATGTTTCTATTTCTACAGAATACAATACAGTATAAGACTGAGACTTTTGTATCAATATAGTTTGACCACAATGGAGTTCTAGTCCGTTATGCGTCCAAAACGCCGCTAAACAAAAACATTCAATAATATATTTTAAGGTTGCTAGAGTTTCCTTCTATATTGGTGTTTTTCAACTGGGGCTACTTATCTGTATGTCTCTCAGTTTTAAAAACACTGGTTTATCTGAGTAGAAGAAAACAAGAGATGTGATTTACATTCACCTGGTATTGCCCTCCTATGTAGACAAAGTCTACATAGCTCGTTCCTTAGATCAAAAGCTTTGCTGTAAATCCAGCACTTTTAAAAATGCTTTGATGTGCTAGACACCCCATAGGAATACTGCTAGGGTCATAAGTTATAGCAGTAAGAAATTCTCTCCTGTTCATCAATTGCCAAGAAAAACTAAGCACTCTTGGCAGTCCAGATACATGTAAAGAGATGCTACTCAAGCTATGAAGTTTTCAAGTTTCTCTATTTTCAACTAAAACAGGAAAAAGCGTTATCTTATTACTTTGTATGTAGTGTGCAAGTTTTCTTTAGCCATTCACAACTTGTTTTTCCCCAATGGAAAGATGTTTATCAACTAGAGAGATTCAGGG